AAACAAAATACATTTTGGCACTTTGGCTACAACTTGATTCATGGGATTTTGGAATATCGCTGGGGGAATTCTAAACCCAAACTGCAATACATGATATTGATAAAACCCATTTGGTGTAACAATGATTAACATTTTCTTATCTTTTCATATTAAGGTTATTTACTGGGATTCTTTCTTTAGACCACTTTTAGAAAGAAACAAACACTACCAACTTTATCAATACAACTTTCTAACAAAGGAATTGGGTTTGAATCTGTTTTTGTTGCTGTGTTCACTTTTCTGCAATCAATGCAAAATTCAGTTGACCCGTAAGCAGTAATGCCACTGGTGAACTCCAGCAGGTTTGGCTGGGTTCAGAAAGGTGATTTCCTAGCATGTATTGAGTATTTGTCCACCTGAGCTTATTGTTTTCCAGGCATGAGTGATAAGGATGTTGTTTCATCAGCACTGATTCCCTACATCCGTATCATGTCTGGAAAATGGTAACAGTCTTTCAACAGTGGTTAGTTGGATTATGGGAGGTTCATTTTGCGAACTGTTTATTTCTTTTTCTATCTCATTCTTACTGGTCCTGTCATCCTCCCCTACTCATACCATCTGACACAATTGCTCTTTTGTATCTTCTTCCCTGTGATTATAATATATTAACATATTCATGTCACATAACTAATAAAAACAGAAATTGCCTGAAAAGGTCAGCAGATCTGGCAACATCTGTGAAGAGAAATCAGAGATAATGTTTTGGGTCCAATGACTCTTCCTCAGAACTGCACCTGCGGTTCTTTCAGTTTTTACATACTGATACCTTTTCTTCTTGTCGTCAGGAGTATCTATCAATAAGTCAAATTACTAACTCTCCTTTTTTGACTACTGAATCTCACTTTCAGAGGTTCAGTATAGGTAATATCAGTGGCACTTTGTCTCCTGTCTGAAATGTTCTAGTTGCAGTGTTCTGTTTCCAGTCTTTCATCTTTGCCTGTGAATGTTTTAAATGTTTCTGTGCTACTTGGCATGTGTACATTTCAAGAAACATAATCCTGTTAGTTTCCTCTGTCTGTCAATATGTTTGTGTACTGGTTTAGAGTTTTCATTTGTACAGCCATTTATTTATAGTTCATAGCTGATTATGTATTATTAGAATTTTCTTATTTGTAATAAATACTAGTCCTCGTTAAGTACAGGAACCTGGTCAGTGTTTTCTGTTAACTTGATTCCATCAAACATGTGAATTGAGGAGTTTGTGTACTTTAATTAAATCATTAACTTTTGTGGTGACCCCAGTAGTGAGTCTTGAGAATCAGCACTCTTTCACAAGTGGGTCATAACAATTCAATTAAGAATCTCTGGTAGTAAAGAGTAATAAAGTTAATCCTTTATCCCAATCCTGTGAGTATTTATGACAATAGGCTTTAATCGTCATTTTGAGAGTTCCATAATACCTCTGCAAAGCACTATGAGTTTGTGAATGAGTGACAGTATACTTCAACTGTTTTGTACCCAAATTGCTTATTATGTCCTGAAATTGTTCAGACATAAAATTAGAACAATTATCTGATTGTATTTCAATTGATAGTCCTTGACAAGTAACAAAATTTAGTTTTTCCACTAATAGCTTAACAGTAATTGTCTTTAAAAGAATAGCTTCTGGAAATCAAGTTGTAATATCCAAAAAAAGGATATTCTGGTATCTTGCTTTAAGTTTTGGTGGGTGTCCTGCACAATATACTAACATTGGATGGAATGGTTCTTCAAAATCTGGTATGGATATTAAAGGTGATTACATGTTGAGGTTTTCACACAACTTGATACATATAATGTGTTTTACAGAACTGCATCTTGTTCTTATGAAGTCTTGGCCAGATAAAATGCCAATTTGTCAATGCTTGAGTTTTCCATTTTCCTAAATTGTTCTGCCATAGGAATTTCATGAAATCCTTTTTCCAATGTTTGGAAGGTACCACAATCTGATGAACAACTGTCCAATGCTCATCTGCAGGTTAATGAGGATGTCTCCACTTTATCATCAGAATTCCGTTGTTAATAGAATTATTCACTGGAACACCTTTGGCCTGCGCTTCAGTGTGAGCTGCATGTACTAACTTCCTTGTCTCAGGATCTGCTTTCTTAGCCTTAATTAACAAGGGGACACTGAACACATTTTGCAAATTATCTTCATGCTTAAAAAAAAGGTTTTGGCTACTCTAACATCTGTTTGTGGTATTACTTTCACCTTGAATGATGGACATGTTTTAGTCATTGTCATCTCACACAATGGAAAAATACTCGGAAATTGTTTTGGTAACTGATCTGACTCTTTAACTTCATTTGTAGCTTCTACGATTATGGTGAAGTTATATCCTTCACTTCAGCCAAATCATTCCCTCAGAATAATTAAGCTCCCTCCATGGGTGATTTCTTAACTACTCCTACTACCATTATTGCAGACAACCAGTCACATGGTAATTTTACTTAATACAATGGAACAATACAAGATATACTCTCCACTTACCCCATTTACTAATATCTTATCTTTCATTGCACTCTCTGAAGAGAAGATTAAATCCTTCCTTTTTTTTATTCATTCATTCATTCATTCATGGGACATCACCGGCTGGGCTAGCATTTATTGCCCATCATAGTTACCCTTGAGAAGATGGTAGAACTGCTGCAGTCGATGTGCTGTAGATAAACCCAAAAAGCCATTAGGGAGGGAGTTTCAGAACTTTGACCCAGTGACACTGAAGGAACAGCCATATATTTCCAAGTTGGGATGGTGTGCCATTTGGAGGGGAACTTGTCAGTGGTGATGTTCCCATGTACGTGCTGCCCTTGTCTTTCCAGAAGGTAGTGTATGTGGGTTTGGAAGGTGCAGTCAAAGGGTCTTTGGTGAATGTCTACAGTGCATCTTGTAGATGGTACACACTACTGCTGCTGAGTGTCAGTGGTGGGGGAAGTGGATGATTGTGGAATGTGGGGCCAATCAAGTGGGGTGCTTTGTCCTGGATTGTGTCAAGCTTTTTGAGTGTTGTTGGAGCTGCACTAAAATCACAGAAGCTACCTCTAATCTGAGCTAATGAAAAATTCCTGTGATAATAAATTGAAATCATGCTTGAACTGCATTCTGGTCGTTACACAATGGTGGTTAGTTAATATGATTTGCAGTTTGTTGTTCTAGGGCAGGGCACTGTAATATGAACACAAGAGACAAAAACAGGGTAATGAGTGGTGGTTGTGATCTGTATGGAGTTTAGTAAGGCGTTCAACAAGGTTCTTCATGGTAGACTGGTTAGCAAGGTTAGATCACATGTAATACAGGGAGAACTAGCCATTTGGATACAGAACTGGCTCTAAGATAGAAGACAGAGGGTGGTGGTGGAGGGTTGCTTTTCAGACTGGAGCCCTGTGACCAGTGGTATGCTGCAAGGATCGGTGCTTGGTCCACTGCTTTTCGTCATTTATATTAATGATTTGGATGTGAATGTAGGAGGAATGGTTAGTAAGTTTGGTTAGTGAAGAAGATGGGACCTTGATCAGTTAGGTCAATGGGCCGAGGAGTGGCAGATGGAGTTTAAGTTAGATAAATGTGAGATGTTGCATTTTGGTAAGGCAAACCAGGACAGGATTTATACAGTTGATGGTAAGGCCCTGGGGAGGGTTGTTGAACAAAGAGATCTAGAGATACAGATGCATAGTTCCTTGAATGTGGAGTCACAGGTAGATAGGATAGTGAAGAAGCTATATGGTAATCTTGCCTTTACTGGTCAGTGCATTGAGTATAGGAGTTGGGAGGTCATGTTGTGGCTGCACAGGACATTGGTTCAGCCACTTTTGGAGTATTGTGTGCAACTCTGGTCTCCCTCCTATAGGGAAGGATGTTAAGAACCTCGAAAGGGTTCAGAAAAGCTTTACGAGCATGTTGCCAGGGTTGGAGGGTTTAAGCTAAAGCGAGAGGCTGAGCAGGCTGGGGCTATTTTCCATGGAGTGTCAGAGGCTGAAGGGCAACTTTATAGAGGTTTGTAAAATCATGAGGGGCATGGATAGGGTAAATAGGCAAGGTCTTTTCCTTAGGGTGGGGAAGTCCTAAACAAAAAGACATAGGTTTAAGGTGAGAGGGGAAAGATATAAAAGGGACCTAAGAGGCAACTTTTTCACATAGAGGGTGGTGCATGTATGGAATGAGCTGGCAGAGGAAGTGGTGGAAGCTGGTAAGGGTACAAAATTTAAAAGGCATCTAGATGGATATGTGAATAGGAAGGGTTTAGAGGGATATGGGCCAAATGCTGGCAAATAGTACTAGATTTATCTAGGATATCTGGTCGGCATGGATGAGTTGGACCGAAGAATCTGTTTCCGTGCGGTATGACTCTATGACTCTGTGAGTGGTTACTGCTTCAATGTGTTTTCTTTTGTACTGTCATAGTTATTGCAGGCCCAAGAATCGGGAATCTTT